GTCTTACTGACCCCAGGTCCAGGACTCTATTCACATCACTACCTCTATTACTACTGACAATAAGGGCCATTATTCCTTCTTCTTAAATCTATCACTGTAAGACTCCCTCCCCCACGGTTTCATCAAAACAATGCAAAAGAGATGACTGAAAATGGCTTTCGGCTAATCTTCTGACTCAGCTCTAAATGCTCAGCATCCTTGCTGCCTCTGACCAAGGTGCTGACTAGAGTTGGCTCTGCTACTTAACACCGAGATAACTCTGAGGCAATTCAGTTTCTGAGTTTCAGGGTTTCTTATCTATAAAACTAGAGGTCTGGAATAGATGCTTTCTAAAGTCACATACAGTCTCTAAATCTATGATCTTTTAACTTGCTGACTCTTGAGCCTGGAGGCAGTAATGATACAGTGCTGGGGCTCTGAACCTTTTCTGTATCGGGGGATCCTTTGACAGTCTGAGCAAGCCTTTCTCAAAACAACTTTTAAAATATGTAAAAATTTAAAACCCCACAAGATTATTTAAGAAAACCCCCAAATTATATGGAAATAAAGTTATCTTTTTTTTTTTTTTAGTTTCACAGACCTTAAGCTAAGAAATCCTATACAATACTAAGAAGAATACAGACTTAGAAGCCAACAGATCTGAATTCAGATCCTGGCCCTGTTACTGTCTTGTTGTGAGGACCTAGACAAATCATCAAACCCCTCTGTGCCTCTAAATACCTATCTGTAAAAGGAGAGTGTTGGACTAAGTGATCTCTAAGGTCCTCTCCAGGTCTGGAAGTTCAAAGACTCACTACTACTTGGGCCCCTTTCTCCCTTCTAGCAGTTTGATCTCCAATTTCCCAATGAAGCAGCTTTGACTTAGAGATGCCATTGGTTTGCTTGTATAAGCTTCTGGCAATCTATTTCCTCTGACATTTAGAACATGACACAGAAAATAAGATGTAGATCATCAAATGAGGTATTATTTATTGCTCAGAGTGCCCTGTCCTGAACCTCTTATGTATGATCTTCCACTGTCTGGCCCCACCTCCCCACTGAATGCCCAGAAAACAGGTTCCTGGGAGTCAGCATTTGGATGGTATTTATACAGCAACCATTGATTCATATGTGAGTAGTGAGAAGAAGAGAAATTCAAAAGCTGTGTTAAAAAGAGTGTGGACTTGAGGTCAGCTCTGAGGACTCTCAGTGTAGTCCTTTCACTCTTCCACTTCCTCCACTTCAGATTTAAGTTCCTAGACTCCCTGTCTCTGTGTCAAGTTGTTAACACTGTCCAGAAATAGTCAAAAGCTCTGTAATGCAAAGGGAATTTTAGTATTTGAAAACAACATATTTGGTCTTTCTATTATGTGAATTTCTCCTCTGTTAAATACTCAAAGTGGGGCATGTATTTATAAGTCAAGGAAATGCAGATCCAGCTAGATGGATAGTGGAAAAAAGCCAGTAGCAGCTCATGTAAATGATATAGAGCTGATTTCATGCTTTGGTGAACCTCTTGATTTCATGCCACCATGTCTTTTACTCCAGATGCTTTTCTTTAAAGTTTTTTTTCTAAATCATCATTTACAAGTTGGTCTCTCAACAAGCATTTATATTTAAGCACTTGATATGTCCAAGGAATTGTGCTAAGTGCTGGAGTTACAAAGAAAAACAGACATATAACCCAAATTCTCAAGGGGCTCAGTGTCTAATGAGGGGAGAGAGCATGTCTTTGGGATACCCAGTCTGCAACACTCAAAAGGTAGTTGGTGATTCTGGACTATAAACATAGGAATTTCATTTTCTATCCTCACCCCTTAACCTCTAAACTTCCACTCCTTTCCTCCCTCCGCTCCTCCCTTTTCTCTCCTTTTTTCCTCTTCCTCCCTCTTCCCCTTTCTTTTCTACTTCCTGTCCTCTTTCCCCCATATGTATATGTATGTACACATACAGATATACATACATATATGCATACATGCGTAATACACAGTATTCCAAAAGTCAGTGCAGTTTTAAGCTATTGAAGCTTTAACAGTTTAAACTGCATTGACTTTTGTAACTCCATATATATGTGTGTCTCATGCATATAGGTGTATGTATGTACATATGCATTTATATTTATGAATAATGTTTATATGCATGTATATATGCACACATACATATATATGTCTAGGAATGGATGACAGTTGATCCAATGGGATCTGACAAGATCACCAAGCAATATGGTATCAAAGGAAAGTGGAAGAGGGGCTGAGGATATAGCTTTTGGAACCACTCATATTTAGTAGATGTAACATGGATGAAGATCCAGCAAAAGGGACTGAGAAGGAGCAATTAGTCAGGTAGGAGGAAAGCCAGAAAAGAATACTGGCACAATAACCTAGAGAGGAGAGAGTATCTGGGAAACGAGTATGATTTGTGGGGTCCAAAGTTGCAAACAGGCTAAGAAGAATTGGGATGTAGAAAAGGTCATTAGAATTGGTAATTAAGAGGTCATTGGTAACTTTAGAGACAGTAATTTCAGTTAAATGATGAGGTTGGAAGTCATATTGTAGAGGATATGGAATAAAGTGAGAAGGGAAGTTTATGACTCTCGAGAAGTTTAGTTAGGAAGAGGACAAGAGATAGAGGGCAGTAGCTAACAAGAATGATTGGTTAGATACAGCAAGGGTTTGTTTTTTTAAGGATGGAAGAGATATAGATATATTTGAAGGCAACATGGAATAAGAAAGTGGATAGAGAAAGACTACAGAAGAGGGAGGAGAGGGAGAGAGGGCAGGAGGAAGGAGAGAAAGGCAGAGAGAGAGACAGAGACAAAGACAGACATAGAGACAGAGAGGCAGGCAGAGACAGACAGGATGATAGATGGGAGGAGATCAGCTGGACAATGCAAGAGGTGATATGATCCAGATTTCATGGTTACTTTGACAAAGAGAAGGGTCACTTCTTCATATGAAAAAAGGATGAAGGTGAAGATCATGAAGGAAATGTTTGAGATGAGGAGGAAAGAAGAGAAAGAACTCTTATTGAATGCCCTCATTTTTTTCAGTGCCATATGAGGTAAGCTCTTCTGCTGTAAGACTAGGCACAAGGGAGGCTTGAGGAGTGATGAAAAGGTTTGAAACAGCAACTGTGGTGAGTGGATAGGAGCAAAGCAGTGGAGGGGAATGTAAAAGGCTTGCTTTGTTGTATGCAGTAAGAGTCCAATTACATAACCTAAACTTGTGTTGTAAAGAAGTTACATGATTTGCCTATTCACATAGAAAGTAACTAAGAAGGGTCATGATTTGAACCAAGGTCCTCTGACTCCAAACACAACAATCTGTATTATTTCCCCCCATTTTATAGTTGAGGAAAGTGAGGCTAACAACATTTTGAGATGGCTCCAGAAATGACAAGCAAATGATTGCTAGAGTTAACTTGAATACTACGGCAGCCAGAGTTCAATGATTCTACTATATTTCCCTTTATTGGATGAAACAATTTCTTTTTAAAATTTATCCAAATTATTTTATCACTAGTCTTTGCTCAGTTCACAAGGATCTTTGCTTCTTTTAAGGTAAAGATCAAGCTATAGCCTTATAACACATAGTCCACCTAAAATATTTTACAAGTTGGGTTTAAACAACAAAAAAATAACAATTAAAGGATGCCCTGAGGTGTAATGCTATGGACATTATTGGAAGAATTAAAAAATCTGGGCTTTAAACTCAATGCTGACACTATCTAGCTATATAGTTGGGCAAATATAGTATGTCAATCTCTCTAAACTTGAGTATTCTTCACCTACAAAATGAGAGGTCATCTCTAAATGAGCTCTAAGATATCTTTCCATGCTAAAATACTAATGACTATGAGTTGTGCCCTTGGACAGGGACTTATCCTCATTGGGCATCAATTTCCTAATTTGTAAAAAAAAAAAATCATACTAAGAACTGTGTTCCATAATGTGTAGAATGCTGGCCCTGAAGTCAGGGAACATCAAGATTCAGATGTCTCCTGGGACACTTACTAGCTATGTGACCAGAGACAAGTGACTTATCCTTTCTGGATCTCAAGAAACCCAGAGTTAACAAGGCATGCTATGTGTTGTGACAGAGAAGAGTGGGGAGTTACCGTACTAGGAGCTCCTACTGACTAAATTACAGATTTCCCATGTAATGTCAATTACCTGCCTTGTTTGCCTCATGGAGCTGTGAGGATCAAATGAGATAATGAATGTGCAAGTGATTTGAAAAGATGAGAACATTATGCAAGTGTAAGATTCCGTGATTAACCTTGGTTTTATCTCAAATCTCACTTCACTGACAAAGGAAACAGATAATTATTTTAAATGCAGAATCTTAAATGTCATGGAAACTCTTTGGGTTGGGTTTGAGTTTCCCAAACATTTATCATTAAATGCTAAGTTCCTTGAACAGAGAAGGCACATATCTCCTTTCCTGCTATCCCCTCTCCAATGGCTGGAACCTAGACCCACTCCGAGGAAATGGTAAGTACTCACTAAATGCTTTGACAAAGAAGATGTCAGCAGTTCAAACTATTCAGCTCTTCAGTATCACTTATTAAAGTTATGAGGAGGCTCAAAGGACTGTATATTTGGAAGGAACATTAGAATGACCCCTCCATTTTCTAGAATAGGAAATTAAGTCATGGAAAGGTCACTTAACCAAGGTCACATAGATAATAAATGACAAGACTGGGATTTGAACTCAGTCCTCTAACTCCAAATCCAGCTAAAGTTCCACTGAACCAGAAAAGGAAAAAATAACATTTAGGCAAAGATGCCTGGGAGGGAAAAATGAAAAACATTTATAAAGAGCTAAGAACTGCTTGAGGGGCTATTACCACTATCTATGATGACCTTGAAATATGCTGGACCATAAGGGCAAAATGAAATTTCAAACCAAGAACTGACAACAAATTTAAACATCTTGAACCAAAATGATTTTAACTCAGCTTGATTACTTTGGAAAATTCTGATTGCACAAAGTTGGAGATTAAGGAAACATACCCAATACCTTACATATGCCATTAATACAGACATTTCTGCTGTTGCCTCCTTCAAAACAAGGTGTACCATCAATAACAGCATCTAGCATTTTCTCAGAAAACTGTCCATCAATGGGTCGACAGTAGAGTTCACAGGGATATTCTGTGGTGGAAAAAAAAAGAGAGATAGTTTTGAGTTAGCATTTTGATTAATGTTATTGATTTCTCCAAAACTTTTTAAAATTTGTAACATCTGATCATCTTTTGATTTTGAAAGTCATAAAAAGCACAAGAATCTCACTCGCAGGATAGCTAAGTAATGTAATGAAAACAGTGCCTGCTTTGGAGTCAGGAAGACCTGAATTCAAATCCTGCCTCAGATACTTACTAGCTGTGTGACCCTGGACAAGTCACTTAATTTCTTTCAGCCTCAGTTTCCTATTCTATAAAATAGGGATAAAAATAGCATCTACCTCACAGGGTTGTAGTGAAGATCAAATGAGATAATATATGTAAAGCACTATCTAGGAACTGTTTTTGTTATTATTTATTGTTCATGTTGTTGTTATTATTACATATGTTTGGAAACTGTAGCATGGCGATATCCAATACATACCTAGGCATATAACAGGCATTGAACAAATACTTAGTCTTCAACACATTTGAAATATGTGTACATGTGCTCTGTGTGGGTACATATATGTTTGTGTGTATACATAGTATACATATATAATATATACAAACATGGTTCACATATAAACGTGGCTTTATAAGTCAGTATGCAGTCTATAGGGATCCATAGGTATAGTTTAGTGCCCTCCCCCCTCAATTTGTATTTGAGTTTGACAGTACTGGCCTAGAGCACCAAGGAAGTGAAATGACTTACCCAGGACCACACAATTAATGTGTCAAGATTGGACTTACATCTCGATCTTGCTAGCTATAGGGCTACTTTCTATTTACTATTCCATACTGCTGTTTTGACTTTTATGTAGTATTTTAAATTTGTAGTGTGTGTGCGTGCATATACGTGTGTGGGGGGCATGCAATAAATACTGATTGACAGTGCTGTTCTGAGGTACAAAGGAGATTATGTTTGTGTGCACGTGTGCATGTGTGCTAACATGTGTACACATATGCATGGACAAGACAGGCACTGTGTGAGGCACTGAGGATAAACACAAATATGTTGAATCCTCATCTTCAAGATGTTTACAATTTCCTGGGGGAAATAACATGTTGGTGGGGGTGAAGGGAGCACTAACAACTTAGAGAATCAGGAAAGGCACCAGAGGTAAGTATTATAGGTATTGTTACCCCATTTAGAGGATGAGAAAGCTGGCTTAAAGGTTAAGTGTCCAAGATCACACAGCTCTTAAGTCTCAGAAGTGGAAATTGAACTCTGGTGTTCAGGATTTCAAGTTCAGAACTCTACCCAATCTCACTTTGGCTTTTCAATAACAGGAATGTAAGCTGAACACAAAAAATGAGTGAGCACTCAATGAAGATACTACATTCCTAGACAAACATTACTCATGCCTTTTGTTAATTGTAAAGCTAACACATCTCTAGGAGAGGCTAGGTCCTTTGTAACCTCTCTTTCCTGCTGCAACTCAGGGGCTGTGTGGTTAGGATTAGAGACTATGACAGCAACTGGGTGCCATAGAATTTTGTAAATAGGGAAAGTTGAGGCAGCTAGGTGGCCTAGTGGATAGAGTTCTAGACCTGGAATCAGCAAGACCTGAGTTCATATCCAGTCTCAGATACTTGCCCGTGTGACCATGGGCAAGTCATTTAATATCTACTTGCCACAGTTTCCTCATCTGTAAAATGGGGATAATAACACATATCTCAAAGGGTTTCTCTGAAGAGCCAATGTCAAAAAGCAGTTAGTGTTATGCCTGGCACAAAGGAGGTGCTACCTAAATGTTTACTCCCTTTCCTTCCCCAATACTGATACCTGCTTCGTTTATCCATCTCTAATCCTCCTCCCACCTTGCGGGCTACATCCTTGACTCACTCTGAGAATTGTCTTTCTCATCTCTCCTGAATAAAGAAAATGAGATATGCACAAGATGAAGTATTTTTTAAACCCCTGCCAGTCACAAATAAATGAGAATCCTAGAAAGCTGTACCATAGACACAAATAGGACCTGATCTCTTCTGTAGAAACCCAATTACTTTGTTCTGATAGATGGATGAAATTAATCAATTAAGATCCCAGAATCAAAGAGTTGGAAGCAACTTCAGAGGGCATTTCATCCAACCCATGCCTGAATAAGAATCTGTTCTATAACTCTCCTGTTACCCCAACACCCCCACCCCAATCAGTGGCCAACCGATCTTGTATTTTCTTTGCTTACTGCCTGACTCCCAGTAAGGGGAAGCAAGATGGATGTACTTGTCCCTGGAACCTGGATTCACTTTATTTTTATTTCACTAAATCTAAAGTGCAGATCCACTCTGGCTCAATCTTAATTTTGAAACAGACTTTGTTTATCTTTTCTGAGTATGTGTATTGGGTACAGCTGGATAGCTAGTTCTTCAAGGACCAGATCAGTTTGAGGATACAGATGGTGCCACCCATGTGGCCATGTGTGTCTTCAAACTAAAATAGGTGCAAAGCAACTCCTGGGGAGCAAAATGCTGACTTGTTTAATTAACAGTAGGATTGTGTAGATATAACTATGAACTACATGTCGTATGATAATTTATCATCCACTTATTTAGGAAAATAAATGTAGGCAGCTAAATGACTCATGGGATAAAGGATTGCATCTGGAGACAGGAAGGACTGAGTTCAAATCTGGCCTTGTACACTAGCTCTAAAAACAGCTATACAAAAAACCTAAAGTTTGGGACAGTGCCCCCTCCACATTGGGAGTAGAGCCCAACTTTAATAATCAAAAGTCAAGAAATAGGCTGGGGAAAATGAGCAAACAACAAAAAAGGATCTTGACCATAGAAAGTTACTATGGTGACAGGGAAGATCAAAACACAAACTCAGAAGAAGACAACTGTGACATCCAAAACCTTGAAGAAAAATGTGAATTGGTCTCCGGCCCAAAAATAATTTTTGCAAGAGCTCAAAAAGGAGTTTAAAAATCAAATAAGAGTGGATTTACTAAGAATCTACCTACCATACTGTTGGGCAACTTTGCTACTTTGCTGAAAAACTTTGCTACTTTGACTGAAAAAAGAATCAAATAAGAAATGTAGAGAAATAACTGGGGAAAGAAATGACAATGATGAAAGAAAATCATGAAAAAAAGAGTCAACAGCTTGGTAAAGGAGGCACAAACTATATTGAAAAAAAAAACACCTTAAAAACCAGAATAGGCCAAATGATAAATGAGGCACAAAAACCCAATGAAGAGAGAATGCCTTAAAAAGCAGAATTGGACAAATGAAAAAGGAGGTACAAAAGCTCACTGAAGAAAATAATCCCTTAAAAATTAGAAGTGGGCAAGTGGAAGCTAATGACTCCATGAGACATCAAGAAACAATAAAACAAAATCAAAAATATGGAAAAATAGAAGAAATTTTTAAAAAACTGACCTAGAAAATAGATTCAGGAGAGATATTTGAAGAATTGTTAGACTACCTGAAAGCCATAATAAAAAAAAAATAGGGTGTAGGCATCATCTTTCAAGAAATTATTAAGTAAAACTGCCCTGATATTCTAGAACCAAAAGGTAAAATAGAAATTGAAATAATCCACTGATCACCTCCTGAAAGAGATCCCAAAATGAAAATTCCAGGAATATTATAGCCAAATTTCAGAGCTCCCTGTTTAATAAGAAAATATTGCGAACAGCTAGAAACAATTCAAATATGGACCCACAGTCAGGATAACACAAGATTTAGCAGCTTCTATATTAAAAGATCAAAGAAAGGTCTTGGAATATGATGTTCTGGAGGGCAAAGTAGTAGGAATACAACCAAGAATTACCTACCTGGTGAAACTGAGTACAATCCTTCAGGGGGAAAATGAATATTGGATGAAATAGAAGACTTTCAAGCATTCTTGATGAAAAGATCAAAGCTAACTAGAAAATTTGACTTTCAAATAAAAGACTCCAGAGAAGCATATAAAGGCAAATAAGAAAAGAAAATAATAAGTGACTTAATAAGGCTAAGTTGTTTACATTCCTACATAGGAAGATAATATTTGTAACTCATAAACATTCTTCTCATTATTTATGCAATTAGAAGGAACATACGTAGCCAGAGGCATGGGTGTGAGTTGAATATGATGGGATGATATCTAAAAAAATGAATTTTAGGGGTGAGGAAGAGGAATGTACTGGGAAGAGAAAGAGGGAGGTATAATGGGGTAAATTATTTCATATGAAAGAGGCATGAAAGAGGTTTTACAGTGGAGGGGAAAGATGGTGGAGGTGGGTAGGAGCAAGTGAACCTTACTCTCATTGGAATTGGCTCAAAGAGTGAGTAACATGTACATTAAGTCAGGTATATAAATCTATCTTACCCTACAGAAAAGTAGGAGTTTGGAAGGAAATAAGAAAAAGGGGGGCTGATAGAATGGAGGGAGGATTGGGGGAGGCAGTAGTCAGAAGCATAACACTTTTGAGGATGGACAGAGTGAAAGGAGAGAGAGAATAGAATAAATGGGGGGGAATAGGATGAAGGGAAATACAGTTAGTAATCAGAACTGTAAAAAAAATTATAGTATGACATAATGATATACTTAGAGAATCCTAGAGAATCAAGTAAAAAACTACTTGAAATCATAAACAACTTTAGCAAAGTTGCAGGCTATAAAACAACCCACATAAATCATCAGCATTTCTATATATTACCAACAAAGCCCAACAGCAAAACATAAAAAGAGAAATTTCATCTAAAATTACTGTAGACATTAAAATATTTAGGAGTCTACCTCCCAAAACAAACCCAGCAACTATATGAACACTATTATTAAACACTTTTCACACAAATAAAGTCAGATCTAAATAATTGGAGAAACATCAGTTGCTCATGGCCAAGCTAATATAATAAAAATGACAATTCTATCTAAGCTAATTTACTTATTCAGTGCCATACCAATCAAACTACCAAAAATTATTTTATAAAGTTAGAAAAAATAATAACAAGATTCATTTGGAAGAATAAAAGGTCCAGAATATCAAGGAAAATGAA